TTGGCTTGTCCGATGATGTTGTTGTTTTTTATTGACCTGTCGGAATTGGAAGTTTGGTAGCGAAATATGTTGCCCTTCCCTTTCCCAGTTGCATTTGCCCAATGATTATTTTATAAACTGGGAGCTATATAAAAAATTATGCCTTTTCTTTTCTTAATTCCTTGTTTTACTGCTGTTATTTCATTGTTTTGCAGGGATTGTGAAGATAACAAAGATAAAGAAGAACTTGAAGGTCTTGGAGGCTTGTTGGGATTTTGAAGATTTAGCATAGGATGCATGTAATAATGTAGAAGCAAATAGAATTTAGAACTTCCTTGTGTAATTTGTAACTTCTTTGTACTTTGTCATATGGTTTTATGTCATGAGAAGACTTGCGAATCTATTTCCTTGTAGCCTTTTGTTTGTGAAAGAAGAACACTTGAATCTTGCTTTAGCACACAAATACATAGAATATATTTTTAGAAATAATGCACATCCCAACTTGTAAAAAAAGAAATGAGTTTGCCCAATAGCATAAACTTTGAAACGAACTCTTGAAAATATGTGAAGCTCTTGAGTTTGGGATAAATCTTGAATAAATTTCAGAAACATCTTTAAATTGAAATCTTGAACATTGTATCAAACTCGATTCTTCAAATTAATCACAAGTCCAGAAGCAAAGACGCTCTTAACTGAGGGAGTCTTAATCCAATACCACGAAGGTCAATCTTTCATCCTTTCTTGAGAACGAAATATACAAACTAGCCAACAGTCGGGTAATACATCATGCCCTTAAATAAACACGCCTCGGATCAACAAACGAGAAAACTTAATCTCCCTTTGGGAATGCTCTGATGTTTCTTGAAGATAATTTGTCATCAGGCCTTGAATCTTTTGCCACAAACCTGACTTCACAAAACAAAACAAACAAACCGGTTAGACGGTTAGCTATGCATGAATGATGGACTTAAATGATATGCGAATGATCAATGAATCTAAGGGAAAATTTTGGGGTATGACACGAAGGATTCTTTGTTGTGCGAGTCTGGGCGAGTTTGTTTGCTATGCGAACACGTGATTACAGCAAAACGCTGTTACGCACCAGAACCTAAAATCAACCCAAAATCCAATGATTTCCTTCCCCAATGCCCTCAAAACATCCCTAAATCATCCCTAAGGTCTTATGATGATAAAGGCACAAAATCTATGACTTATTAGGCCAATCCCGTATCATATTCATGCTCTAATTCCCATAATTTCCTTACAACTACACCACGGCCATTAGAGTTTCTCACAATCTAATTACCCTACAGGGTTGAAACCTTAACGACAGATTTTAGCTACGAAGGCCTACTTTCCCTCAAACCCAAATCGACCTCAATCCTATCAGATCATCAGTTCAAATCCCTATGATAAAAACCTCATTAATTGATTTTGGCCACGAAGGCCTAATTTCCTTTATCTCAAAATCAGCCTCAAACCCTTTAAACCCCTAAATCGGCTTTAAACACATTGAAATCATATATTGAAAATAATGAAGGCAATACTGTAACACCCCCTTCTATACCCCCAAATAAACAAATAAATCACATAATAAAATTTCATCAGAGTAAGTTTGAAACATGGTATAAAAAAAGTATGCCACATCATGCACGAAATAACATACAACACCTACTCTAAAAAAAATTCAACAGTGGGGTAGCTCAATAGAGGAACTTAGTCCTTACACCCATGTCGTACCTCGAAAAATACGATCCTCGCGATGGACGCGGAAAATACGTTCGAACAGAGTCGCCACCGAACTTTATTCATTCCAAGGATGGAATAGGAAAATATTGATAAAACCTTTAAAGAGATAAGAACATGGTCATCGCAACCAATGTTCTAGGTTCAGGAGTCGATTACATGAGGGGAAGGTATTAGAACCCCTCATGTCCGTTGTACTCAACGGGAACCTCTTGATTCGATTCGAGAGTAAAGTTAACTACGCTTGTTTGTTTTCTTCTAAGGTTTCTCCTAAAGGGAAATTGGTGGTTTTAAGATAGGGTGCTCGCCAAGGATTAGGGCCCTTGTGCCAACGTATCTTCACTTGTAAGAAGTGGAAAATCAGAGCAATCGTAGTTCGTGGGACTACGGGTAAAGAGGGGATTGTGCTCGCCAAGATCATCGCAATCTTGTGCCTACGTATCTTACATTCAGAAGAATGAAGAATCAGAGCAGCTGTAGTTCGGCTAACTACGGTAAAAGGTTTGGTATGTGAACGAGTGTTTAGGTCGCATTCTAACTGCTAAACATTGGCTTGTCTGCTCGCTAGGGGAGGCTGAAGCTCTAGTTTGTTATGCACGGAAGAAGGGACTAAACAATGTTCTTTGGTAAAAGGTATGGGAACCTAAGGGCGGAAAAGAAAGAAAAGTGCTCGCGAGGATCATCGCAATCCTATGCCTACGTATTCTCAACGGATGTGAGAAATCAGAGCAGTCGTAGTTCGGCTAACTACGGTAAAAGGGTTTGAAAATGAACGAGTGTTCAGGTCACATTCTAACTGCTAAACGTTGGCTTGTCTGCTCGCTAGGGGAGGCTGAAGCACGAGTTTGTTATGCGCGAAAGAAGAGACTAAACAATGTTCTTGGTAAAAGATGTATTGAGTTGGAAATCGCACGAGGGCGAGGATTTTGTGTTTATCGCATTGGAGGTTAGAGGATATATTTGAATAAGTTTAAGGTCTCGATTGCACGGGGGCAAGAAAGAGGATTTTAGTTAGGCAATTTGATGGAGAATGACGACTATTCGATAAACGAGATGTCGGTCTCGCAATCAATTAATCGGGATATTATTGGAATGCTAGATTCCAATAACACCTTTTTCATTCGAATAATTACGAAATATGTTTGAGCAAGTTTCAATCGCACGGAGGCGAGGAAAGAGAGTTGGGTTGAATATTTTAAGGGAGAATGGTGACTACTCGATAAACGAGACGTCAGTCGCGCAATCGATTAATCGGGATATCATTGGAATGCTAGATCCCCAACGATACCTTTTTCATTCAAATAATTATGAAATTGTATTTGAAATAATGATATTGGTCCAAATAATTAGGGCATTTATAGACGAAAGGTCGAGTAATCCACAACCTAAAGCGTACGCCCCAAGAGTGGTTGCTCAAGAATTCAAGGAGTGCGAGACTCCAAGAACTCAATTCTTTCGTAATTTTAATTAAGAAAATAATTTGAATTTTGGAGTATGGTTTAAAAACATACTAGGGTTTAGACTCGATCACACGAAGGCGAGGAACGAGGTTAGACGGGTTGAAAATTTGGGAGGAATGACGACTACTCGATAAACGAGACGTCGGCCTCGTAACCAATTAGTCGGGATATCGTTGGAATGCTAGATCCCAACGACAACCTTTTTCGTTCCCTTTAATTATGAAATGGTGTTTGTTGGACGGTGAATACTTGTCCAAATAATTATGGAAATATTTTAGAAACGAAAGTTCGAACGACACACCATTCAAGGCGTACGCCTCAATAGTAGTCACTCTCAAATTCGAGGAATGTGCGACTCCAAGAACTTGATTATTTCGTGATTTAATTATGAAAACAATTTGAAAATATTAGCGTACTCGGACTAGGCGCGCTAGGTATTCTAGAAAATAAGATCGGAAGGGTCACAACTCAAGGTGTGCACCTCGAGAGCGCTTAAAAATTCAAGGAAGGCGAGATCCAAGAATTTAATTGTTTTGAAATTTGATTAAGAAAATAGTTTAATTTAATCGAGAAAATAGTTTTAATTTTTATATATAAAATTAATTAATCAATTGTAAAGTTTTGATTTGAGAAAAGTTTAATATTTTAGAAAAGTTTTAACTCAATTAATAAAGTATAGCTTTTCAATATTTAAAATATTATTTGTTAATAGTTTTGAAATATATTTATTTAAAAATAATAATTGGAAATTTCTTATAAAGATATCTAAAAGTAAATAAAAATATCCTTTATAAATTTCATTGAAACTAAGTAAAAAAACTATTTGAAAATCAAAAGACGGAACAACCACAACTCAAGGGCGTGCGCCTCGAGAGCGGTTGTTCAAGGACTCAAGGGATACTAGACCCCAAGAGCCCACTGCTTTCATTAATATAAGAAAAGGTTTAGAAGCATTATTATTAGTACTATCATCTTATTCAGGTACTGAAACATCAAAATGTGAAAAATAAGTAAATAAATAACTAAAACCCAAAGAAGATTAAGGCGTGAAGTTCTCATGGATGTGTAAATAGCAGCAGCCAGATGGAATCAAGGGTCAAAATTAATCTTATAACCAACAAAGCTATTTGCCTTAAATATTACAACTAAGATAACATAATATAAAAGTGAAGTTTAAAATACTGCTCATTTCATATTATAATTTCATATTATAAGTAAAAATATTTCTTTCCAATTTGTATAAAGAGCTTAAAAAAAATAGAAGTGCGATGGAACATCAGCTACCACAATGACACAGAGAGCTGACGATTTATAAACAAACACATCCAACCCATAACTTGAACTATAAATTAAAAACTAATTTCTAATATGCTACATCACTTTGCCAATGCTAAGACTCACCAATTATCCACATAAAAAGTATCTGATTAATTCAAACTACTATTTTTCGGATCACATACTTGATACCACCACAACACCACGTTACAAAAGATATGAAAATACAATAGCAGCTCAAAATCTAACCCTATCAATCCTTACGCTATTATCTCCCGTAAATACCAAATTAACATAACACTATGAAGCCCATGAATTTATGATTAATAGCCAAGTCAACATTCATATGTACATTGAAATACAATAAACTAAAACCGAAAGGCAAGCAATATCACGGGACAACAGCAACACAAAAGGCTAAGGCCGACATTTCATTTCAACAGGTTATCGTAATAATGTACTTTCGACAGCTTTAGAACTTTAACAGCAACATATAATGTAATCGGGATTAACCTCATAACAATTAGGACAACAATTACTCTACATTTCTGCCAAAGTATAATACATAGAATCAACATCATTCAATGAGAAATAATGACATCCCGGTTAGTCTCAAAAGTAAAATAGAGTAAGAATTCGAAATTGAGAATATACCCAAAATGCTGACGCGGTAGTTGTTGTGTTGTTGGAACCAGAAGGGTTGCATTCGCGAAATCAATAGTAGAGTAACCTCTCGTGAGCCCGCAACATCGTTATCATAATGGAAAGCTGGGATGTGATTATTTCGTATTTGCTGCAAAACCAAATCTAAATCACAAAATGAAAACGTGATTTCCTCCCGGCTCTGGGTCATTTGTTGAGCAATCCAAAATTTGTTGTTGTTAGACTTAAACAGAGAAATGGTGCCGCTGAGTTGCTTCCCGTCGCAAACATTCGGGCATCCGACAGAATGGTTGGAGCTGGCTCGACTTTATAGTTTCTTCTGCAATGTTTGAAAACGCTCACCAAACGGTAACAACAGCCTAATGTTGCCAAGCTTGTTGAACCTGCGTACTTCGCAATGTTCTAATCACGCCCAAAAATCAAAGGTAACCTGCAGTAATCAACTAATAATCGGCAGCAACAAATTTTATCAATCAATATCATCCCTAACACAATAAACTCAGATTGCGAGTTGAAACAGGATAACCAGTATGTCGTAGCAGTTATGCGATATAGTCGGTCGAAAATAAAAATGAATATCGTAGCAGCAAAATGGAAACGATATCACTCTTTAATCCCCATGCTACCAAAATGCTTACAAAAATCGAAATTGTGTACGAAACCAAACAGAACAGCAGACAAATTTGAATTTATCACAATGTTAAATCACAACAAACGAAAATCAAAGAGAAATACATTAGTGAACCAAAGTTTTGCACAAATTAATACCAATATTAGAAAACCTGTAAACAGGATGGCAAACAGCTTAAGCAGTACTTTGTACATACGCAACCATGAAATATAAGTCGAATCTAAATGCAACAGTCAAACTAATATTCTAATAACACCTCACCCAAACCGCTCAAAGTCGAAGGGTTACCGAAACGACGTCGTGAATGCTAACGCTGAGTTGTTGATCAAAGCAGGATCGCTAATGTTCACGATGGAGTTTGTTGAATGAAAGTCTTCGCTAAGTCGCAACCGTTGTTGTCGCTAAATCATCGCCGCGAGCTGAAAAGTTGAGTGTGTCGGTGTTGTTGTCGGTAGCTTTTGTTCTTGCTTCAAGTTGTTGTTGTAACTCGCTATGAGTCTTCTGCAAGATGATTCGAACATTGGCGATTTTGTGTTGTTATCATCGTCGTAAGTGTGAGCAGGACATAGCTGAAGTTTTTGCAGCGGGGGTTAGAAGTCGTAGCGAGGAGAAAAATGAAAGTGGGTTTTGAGTTAAGATTGTGATGGTGGTTCGTGTGGGTTGGTTTGGAGAAGTTGGACGGCTCCGATAAAATGAGGGAAACGGGGAAAATGCAGGTGGTGATGTGAGGAGGGACGAAGGGTTTAAAGGCGGTAGGAAGATGATGCGATGGTTCTCGGCGGAGAGACGTTGGTGAATTTGATCGGATAAGAGGATTACAGGTTAGGTTCTTTTCGTTTTTCGAGGTTAGGGTTGAAGAAGAGGAAAGTTGTGAGGGTTTCACGGTGGGTGAGAGAGAAGGAGATGAGAGGCTTAGGGTTTTGGAATTTAAGAGATGAAGAAGAGATGGATTACGCGGCTGTGGTGTGAAGGGAAAATGAAGAAGAAGATGTGGTGGCGGCTCGTTTTGGTGAGAGACGGAAGAAGAGGAAGTTTTTCAATTGCTCCAAGATGAACAGTGATTTCAAATTTATATCCAATTTATCAAAACCCTAATTCTTTCAAAATATCTCTACCGTGTCCTCTATCTCTCTTTCTGGTTATCCCCTTTTTTTAATTTCTTTTTTTTATTTTTTAAATTAATTCTGTTTCTATTTGCTAACTTAATTAATTAACTTCTAACTAAATTCTAACTAATATAAAAACTAATTCTGACTTAATTAATATTAAAAAAATAAATAATAATCTTTAAATAAAATTCTAATTTAATTATTACTAAAAAGAATCTAATCCTATTTCTAATTAAAAAAAATCTATTCTAATTAATTAATATTACAAATATATTACATTATTTAAAATAAAAACATAATGATTAATAAGTAAAAATGCCACGTGTTTAAGACTTATTGGGCAACAAGGTGAAAATGCCTATTTTTGCTGAAAATTACGCTACGCTGTATAAGCGAGGTAAATTAAAAACAAAATCGGGCAAATAAAAATTTTAAAAAAAGGTAGGACAAATTTGGGGTATGACAACCCACATCTCAATATTTAGAATTAAAGCGGAAAATCTAAACATTGAATTACTTAAAACATGTAATCATATACATACATATCATTCAGTTTGTTTCATCACATCATTCGTGTTTACATAAACATTTACCATCAGATACATATATAAAATGTATCCCAAAAGAATACTATACAATCCTAACTACCTGGTGCTACATATCAGAGCATAACCGACCAAAAGAATGAAGCTATACTTCACAAAAGACTTCCATCAAAGCTAACCTGAAATGCCTCATAGAGCATTATAAAACAGCAGAAGGGTGAGAAATATTATCATAATAATCAATGCATATAATTATATATATATATATATATATATATATATATATATATATATATATATATATATATATATATATATATATATATATATATATATATATATATATATATATATATATATATATATATATATATATATATATATATATATATATATATATATATATATATATATATATATATATATATATATATATATATATATATATATATATATATATATATATATATATATATATATATATATATATATATATATATATATATATATATATATATATATATATATATATATATATACACACACACACACACAAGCATATAACACACCTATTCCGCATTTCTCACCATAATTCATTCATAACTCGTCATACATTTCACAACATGTATAAACACACATGGATAATCATAAAACATGTTTCATCATGCATATATCCATAGTTCTCAACTCAACAATCCACACACAAGCATAATTCATATAACAATGATATCTATGATATGTGACCCAACACAACTCAATGCAACTCATACCATGTGGTACCAACACTTGTTATCATTTTTCCGTTTTTACACTTAAACCGGGTCCACTCTTCTAGACCGATAACAACAAAAGCCCGTCCTCTAAGCTTTCAAACCCACTCTTCTAGGCTTGGGACAAGTCACTAGTCTCCACGAAACTAGCAAGCATTGCCTCTTGACTAAATGATGCATATGCAACCAATAACCAAATGCACTTAAGACCGTTCTCGCATCTTAATCTCATGCATTCTCAATAATTCATCACATAAGAATTATAACATGATTGCATACACAACATATTTCACATAATAAAAGTATTCATACTTTAAATCATCATCACCATATCATCAAGCAATGCACACATATTCACTAATATGTTCTCATGCATTATTCACATACAATTATAAGCAATGCACACATATTCACAATATGTTCTTATGCATTAGTAATAGCATGGTGCCAACGGCAACGAACTCAATCGCAATCATCATGCACTTTTAATCAATTTAAACAATGCATATATTATCAAAAGACCATATTTCATAATCGATTCCACAATCTAGGATTCACGCCATACGACTATCCACAGCATATCACACCATAGTACACAACTATTCATTTCGATAAGGATCGAACATAATCGAACCAACAATCAACATCGGATGGAATCACAAAGAAAATGAAATGATGTCACGCTCGCTGGCTTGCTCGCCTAGCGAGTCCCTAGCAAATACTCGCTATCTGTTCGCCTAACGAACAAGCTCGCTATCTGTTCGCCTAACGAACAAGCTCGCGAAGGCAAACAGAAGCTACTGACTTTGTTCGCCACCTACTCATTGCAGTGAGGTCCTAGCGAATCCTTCGCTACCTCACTCGCTACCAGCAAACCAGATCAAATATATTCTGTCCAAGTCTGGGACCACTCGCTAACTTGCTCACCTAGCGAGTTGCTAGCGAACACTCGCGACCTGTTCGCCTAGCGAAGGTGCTAGCGAACGTCTGCAAACTCAAAACCCTCATTGTCATCAATCCTCAACTCTTCATAAAATCAACCTATTCTCCCCAAACCAGTTCCTACAGTCTTATTCTAACATTCCTCAACTAAACTACACACTTTATTCTCGATTCCAACCGTTAAAACCTTGATTCTACCGATTAAACTCATTTATGCCCTAGAATGGAAAATGGAGAAAACATCCAAACAATCCAAATCAATCATACATAATCATAGACATTGATAGAATAACAACTTTTCACACCCTTACCTTGATTAAATTGGAAGCTAGGAGTTGTTCTTGATGATTCCAAGCTTTTTCTTCTTCTCCTTTTCTTTTCTCCTCTTCCTCTTTTCTTTCTCTTCTTTTTCTCTTATGTTTCTATCTTTTCCTTTTCTTTCCACTCTTCCTTATATTCTTTCCATTCTATTTCTCCTCTCAAATATATACCAATAATTCCAATAATTAAAATTATCCAAATAAATCAATTATTTAATACGAATAATTAATTATTGAAAATTGGGCTGTTACAACCCTCCCCCACTTTAGGAATTTTCTCCCTCAAAAATGTTACCTGATTCAAACAGCTCTGGATAAGACTCCCTCATCTAACTCTCAAGTTCCCAAGTCACATTTCCACCAGTCGGTCCTCCCCAAGCGACCTTCACCAAAGCAATCTCTTTGCCTCGAAGTTGCTTCAACTCCCGATCCTCTATCCGCATAGGTGATGTCTGCACAGTCAGGTTATCTCTCACATGCACATCATCTACTTGGACTACATGAGACGGATCCGCAATGTATTTTCTCAACTGAGATACATGGAACACGTCATGGAGATTAGCAAGCGATGGTGGTAAAGCAACACGATAGGCTACCTCCCATATCTTCTGCAAAATCTGATAAGGACTAATAAAACACGGCGTCAACTTACGCGACTTCAATGCCCTACCAACACCAGTCATAGGAGTGACTCGAAGAAACACATGATCTCCCTACTGAAATTCAAGTGTTTTCCTCCTCTTGTCATGATAACTCTTCTGACGACTCTGAGAAATCCTCATCTTCTCTCGAATCATCTTAATCGTATCGGTAGTCTGCTGGACTATTTCGGGTCCAACCACAAAACTCTCTCCAGATTCATACCAACACAAT